TTCCTTGTAAGCGTATGGATATAATCCTGTCACTCACGATGTTGTACTTCAAGTTGGATCTAGAAATTACTTTTTTTACTATAAAGGCAACCCCATTTTTCCTTGTCTTTTCATCTCCAGAGTAATATATCATATGGTCATCAGACTAAAAATTGAGTTTACGACATAAATAATTAGATTTCATATGTGTTGCTGTCCCTCCACCTTCCCAAGCATGATGTCCCTCTTTAAGGACTGGTTCCTTCTTGTAACATGTCCAATGCATGTAAGACAAAGCTTCAGAATCCTTGCCTCCAAGGAGCAGCCTGGTCTCACCCTCTCTAGGACGAACTTGTTTGTTCTCCTAGCAGTCCCTGGTATATTCAATACTCTTCTCCAGCACCACAGTTCAAAGGCATAAATTCTCCTTCTATCATCCCTTCTCATTGTCCAGCTTTCTGATGAGCAGCAAGTAATTGCAAAGACTATGGCCTGGATCAGGTGCACCTTAGTCTCCAGATTGATACCGTTGTTCTTCAGTACTTTGGAGAGGTCTCTGACAACAGACTTTCCCCAGTGTAATTCGTCTTTTAATTTCCTGGCTGCTCATACCAAGAGTGTTGATCGTGGAGCCAAGCAAACTAACGCTGTTAACAATCTCAGTCATGGGGAAATAATTAACCTCAAGTCTGTGTACACAGCCAGTACGTTTCGGAGCTTAACATTGAACAGCTGCTTTATTTGACACTCGACTTAACTACTTTTCTTACCACACCTGCTGCCCTCACCGTGGTTTTAGAGATTTAGAAAAGTCCCTCTCTTCTAGCCTAAAAAAAAAAAATTAGATAGATAGATAGATAGATAGATAGATAGATAGATAGATAGATAGATAGATAGATAGATAGATAGATAACGTGGTGAATTCTTTATCGATTCAAACAATTACTTTCTTCTCCAACTTGGGGTTTTTCTTTCTGGGTTAGGGAAACCGGATTTTTGTATCTCGCCTTCACGTAAAGGGAGGCCGACCCAACTGGCCGTGACCCCGCCCTGACCACGCCTGCGCACGCCTCTTCCGCGGTCCCCTTTGAAGTCCCTGCGCGCGCTCCGTCACGCCTCCTCCCCTGCACCGCCTCCTGCCCCCGCCCCCGCCCGTGGCCTATAAAACCTGGAGGGCCGGATTGTCCCCGGAGCGGTGAGCACGCGAGCTAGGAAACTGGGCATGCTCCGTAGCGGCGCAGGTTTTGGTCACAAGTAGGAAGAAGCCAGGGTACAAAACCGGCACAGAGAAGCGGGAGCCGCCGTCGCACCGCGGCGGTGGGGTCCGTGGCCGCCGCCTCGGCGGAAGAGCTGGCAGGGAGACAGAGCAGGCGAGAGGCGAGGCCTCCGGGGCAGGAGCCTCCCAGCCTGCAATCCTCCTCTCCTCTATCTCTGTCTCTGTCCGCGCGGCGCCCCAGATCCTTGGATCCGTCACTTGGGCGGCTGGAGTCCCGCGCCTGGGAGGCGGAGCGGACGGGACCCTCCCTTCGCTAGTTGCGGCCCGAGGGCGCCCCCACGAGGCCGAGCCGCCTCTGTTGCTGTTCCCTGCGAGTGGCAGAGTGTCCGGTGACTGACCGGAGCCCGCGCCTGGAACGAGCGGCAGCGGCCGGAGGAGCAGGGGGCGGCCATGGGGCTGCTGTCCCAGGGCTCGCCGCTGAGCTGGGAAGAAACCAAACGCCACGCAGACCACGTGCGGCGGCACGGGATCCTCCAGTTCCTGCACATCTACCACGCCGTTAAGGACCGGCACAAGGACGTGCTCAAATGGGGCGACGAGGTGAGCGCCCGCGGCCCCCGCCCGGCTTGGAGCCCCGGCCCCTCCGATCCGAGTCGCCTTTGTTCGGCGAGGCCCGGCCCGCATCCCCCGGGCCCCGGTCCTGCCCGCATCCCCCATGGTCTCCCGGGGGTCCCCGGGCGCTCCCCGGTGCCAGGCGGGGCCCTCTGGCCTCGAGCCTCCGTAACACGCCTCCCTTTTGCTCTCATTCATTCATTCGCTCATTTCATTGCCCCTGAAGTTCATTTATTTGGGTGGTCTCTGCGGCAGACATGAATTGGGCGCTGAAGAGGGCGTGAGCATGAAAAAGTGACGTTGGGTGCGATGAGGAGTTTGCAGTCTGACTGCTAACTTGCCATCAGTGGTCCATTCTCGTGCCCCACAATTCGCGTTTGTGATTAGTACGAAAGTGACAAAGTTGATCAAGAAGACCCGTTGGTCCTAAGGACCTAGGAGTTCTGGATTTTTGCTTCTGTCCCACCTGACCCTGGTCCTTAAGCCTCTCCAAATTTCCCTCCCTTGCTCTCTTTCACTCTCCTAATACACTCACAAGCACACGCTTTACACTAGATTTTCATTTTCCTAAGGCGTGGGTGGGAAGAGGGAACTCTTCTGACAGATGCTTGTTTCAACCCTAAATGAATGCTTTAAGATTTTCAAAATCGGCGTTCCTTACTTAATCTTTCCTGTGACCTAGCTCAGGCAACCTAAACTTTTTGTCTTAGAATTCAGGTATGTTCATCACTTTGCTAGTTTGAATGCTTTGGAAAGCATTGGCTTCTGTTAATTTTAAAGTCTTATATACCAAAGCTCTTTACACTCTGGCCTCGTTTTTCAGAAGAACCCAGTCACGTGTATTGTAACTAAACCCAAACCGGTTGCAGTGAAGTGGATTCTGACTCAGCGACCATTCAAGACTTAGTAGACCGATCATGGGGTTTCCAGAAGTCCCACCTGGAACCTTTTAGCAACTATGCCCAGGCTCCACATATGAAGACACAGATGACTTCTGTAGAAGTCAATCTTGATTTTTTTCATGTATTGCTGTAGATTGCTTGACAATCTGAGCGATTTCTTCATCTTCTTATTCGAAGATTAATTACTTATCAGAAATCTTAACGCTGTGGTCAAGATGCTACACCTATGCAGAATTTTCTCCTGTTGGGACGATTTCATTTTTCCCAAAGATTGTAAGAATTCTCCTACAGAGCAGTATTGTCTTAAATTAGAAAGATATGATTACTAGTAAATTACATTCCTAAAATAAGTGGATTGGCACACTTAACTTACTTGGACAGAAAAGCATCATGTATTTGGAGGTAATTCCTCTGTTGTAGTTAACTAAACTTCAGTTAGTGGTAAGGGTATGGCTTTGGATAAGGCCAAGTTTTTGATCTGTTGTTTATGGGGTTGCTGTGAGTTGTGAACTAAGATAGCACTAAACAAACTTAAGTTTAGTCAGACTTTAAACCTGTGAACAAACAGTAGGGGGTCAGTGAAAGAGATGGATTGACACAGTGACCTCAACATGGGACCTAAATGTGGCAGAGATCGGATGGTTCAAGGTCATATGGTTCCTGGGAGTTCTAGTAAACTCAAGGCCACCTATCAACAGCAGACAGTTCATTTGTGTACTGTCATTCACGAATAAGGTCTCAGGAGGACAGGGATGTTTGTACATCTTTTTTATTTATGTTTCTTTAAATAATCTAACATTTTCCCCACCTACAAGTGCTTGGAAACTACTGCTTTTTTCTTATGCATTTGCCCATTGAAGACATTTCAAAGAAGTAAGAGAATGCAGTATTTGTCCATTTGTGCCTGATTTATTTCACCTAGCATATCTTAAGAGTTTACCTTTGCCCTGGCATTTATCACAGCCTCATTTCTCTATGTGGCTGTATGTGGAGACTACGTTTTATTTTAGCTGTCTATTGATGGACTCTTTATATATATACACACACACACACACACACACACACACACACACACCTTTTTGGCTTTCGGTAATAGTACTACAGTAGAGTTGGTGTGCAGGTATCTGTGTGTCTGCTTTAAAGCCTTTGGGGTGTACACCTAGCTATGGAGTTGATGGGTCCTATGGTAATTATAACTGTCTTTTTTCAGGAGATGCAAAGCTTTCAGAGAATTTCCATACTTTTTCCGTGACAGCATCATTTTACATTCCCACTGTCAGTGTATTAATTGGTGTGTAGAAATGTTTTTGTTTTCTTTTGGTAAAAACAGCATTTGTAAGATGTTAATCTTAACTGTTTCAAGTGACTTCTCTGGTTGTTAAGTAAACTGTAGGTAAGAGATAAAGAGGAGGCCCTTGTAGTACATATTTCAAATTTGGGCAAACTATGGTAGAGAGGGCTACTAAGACTTTCCTCCCTTCTTTAAGGATACAGGGAAGTGAAGAAAAATGACAGTAAGGCAGACTGGTATTATGCGTCACAAGGGGAAAATTGTGCCCATTATTTCAGCCAGATAGTGATACTTCATATTGGTCCTATCTGTTGAGAATTAGACTTTTGAATAATTAGAGATGTAGACTGGGATAGAGCCGCTCTTAGGTTAAAAGTCAAAGTGTTCTCTGAAAATTTTCATTGGGACTATTGAGAAGACACCTTTAAATTTCTTTTTTTATAAATAATCAATGCTATAAATGAACTAAAGCTATCAATTGATCTTATAAATTTTATTTAAAAGATGTTTCACCTCTTTAGCAGTTTATAATTTCTTAAGTAATTTGTTGGGGTTTTTGTTTTTTTTTAACATTCTCTCCTCCTTTACTCTTTTTCTGTCAACAGATTAGTGTTCTTTGGAATGAGTTTGCTGCTTCATAGAAACCACAAATAGGAAAGTTAAATTGGATTTTAAAACATATCTCTTATTTATTAAATTCCGTTTTAATTGTGTCTCTGGGTGGAGTGTGGAGTTTTCAAGAATAACATATTTCTGTCTGCAAGTGTTGACAGTTCAGTTGGAAATAAGCACCTGATACAAGAATCCAGATTATGTACCTGCCCAGCTGGTTACAAAAAAGGGGAGACCACCCCCCAAAATTGCTACTACTCTTCTAGAATGGCTCTGGTGGTTTACCTCAGGGTCTTCCCTTGTTCTATAAGATATAGGTTCTTATTCTCATTTGGTATCTTGGCATCCAGTGTGGACTAAGGGAAGGTAGATGGTGATATTCTTTTGGGGCATCTCACACTTAACCTGTCATCATTGAAATGATTCAGACTCATAAAAACTGTAGAAAACCACCCCATAGGGTTTCTGGAGCTTAACAGAAGCAGGCAACCTCACCTTTCACCTGTGATTTCAAACCCTGGCTTTTAGGAATGAATAAAGAGTATCTCTTCATACACCTAGTAAGATTATAAGAATGTTTCAGGTTTGCTGTGTTGTCAAGTTGGAACCAACCCTTAGCTGACACTCTATCGGGTTTTCAGAAATAGTAAAGCACAGGGAAGGAAATTGTCCATCCTTATCCCAAGGAGCAGCTGATGGATTCAAACTGTGGTGTTTGAGATGTTTGCATTAAGTCTTATGTAAATATCTGCTGTGTACTGCAGTCCAGAGGAGTGGGAAAGCTACAGTCTTAGGCTTCTTAGGGGAGACTTCCTTGATGAGTTGATCTTTGTGAAAAAGAAAGAGAGAAATAACTCCAGGATTAATGCTAATACTTAAAATAATGAGGATTTGCTATTGCATATTTTGAGAAGTCTGAAGATAGGCCTGGAGTGATAAAGAGCAAGCAAGCTCCTTTACATGCTGAAGCCTGAGCGAATACTGAGAAAGGCACTAAACAGATAAATGTGGAGAAGGGTGTGGTGACTGGTGTGGCCCAAGAGATGAAGGCTGACCTTACCAGACTGTAGTGTTTTGGAAGCAGTTTACTGGATTATGTTAATCCAGCACCATTTCCTGCTTTGCCTGGGAAATTCTCATGTTAATACGACCATAAATTTAGATTTTAAAAGAAACAATAAGTCTTAAGACTCTGGTCTTTACCTTTACTTGAAAGGAGAGGCTGCCACTTTAGAAAAGCTAAGCCCTGTTTTCTAGAACAGCATTTATCTTTTTACACCAGAAAGAACTCTAGATTTGGCATTTTACTTGTGTTCTAGTTCAAAGACTGCCAAATTTGCCCTTGTGATGTTGAACCACAGTTTCTTATTTGGAAAATGAGCGAGTAATGGTCTCTCTGAGCCAGTCCAACTTTTCTAGTTTGAGTCCCTAAGACTCATAAGAAAGTTAATGTTTCAAATCAGAAAGTTGAAATTCACCTGGAGGTACACTTAGGCCAACTGAGTAAGGACAAGGCTCCATGCTCACTGTGGCAAAAATGGATCGTATTCTATAAAGCATCTGTACATTGAATATTTGGAACCCAGAAGTCTTTTCCTGTGAGTACCTTAAAAAAAAAAAGATATCCTCAGATCAGCCTACAAATACTAGACTTTTTTATATGATAAATGTTAATATTACCAAATATTTATAATTGTTCTGCTGTTTCTGTGGGAAAATAAAAGTTCTGGCCTAGGTGCCAAGGAAATTACCTCATTTTACTCAAGAGGGAATGGAAGATGGGTAAGTGTTCTGTGTACACACAAAAAGAAAATCATTCACAACTCATAAATTTTTCTGGTACATATTATGTTTGTAAACCGGGATGCATGCACTAGAAGGCAGCCCTAGAAATTTGACTATGTAAATGTTGCTGTATCAGGATGAGAAGCCTGGTTTCATACTGGTTAATTAAGAGCTTGCTTGCTAACCCTAAGATCAGGGGTTCAGACCACCAGTTGCTTCCTGGTAAAAAGAAGTGACAGCATTTGCGTCCTTACAGTTTTACAGTACAAGTAATTTGCCCCCAAATTACTGTTTGGACACCCTGTAGGGTAGTTCTGTTTTGCCCTTTAGGACTATTGGCAATGAGTTTGGTTTGATTTTAAATGTGAGGATAAGTGTGCCTGTTTTTCCATTCAGTT